CTCCAGGCCATGTCAAGATGCGTAATCTATAGCAATTCGCGTCAAAAAGCCTCTTTCAGTCGACTGTACCTGAGACTGAAGTTTTTCAATCATGGCTCAAGATACATGACCACGTGTGAATAAGGGGATAAAAATCGACTTCAATACAGACAGCTTAAACTGCAGACTGAATTCTGTCTTAATAACAACTGTTCATAGAGTTCATGCCACGCTGTTGGCCATTCCAATTCACTGGTCTAACTCTTCTTCTCGTTTTTCATCACTAATAAACAGGACTCCGTGAAAAGTAAGCATTTCCACCTGTTCCATTGCTCATCCGTTTATCATCAGAGTGTACGGCGCAAGGGATCGAAAAAGCTTTAGGCTTTTCTAAGCCACGCTCTACTCAGCTGTGAATATTTCCAAAGAACGCTGGAGATTAGTTTCGAAACATGAAAACATGCTAACAGCAGCTTCCTCACCTGTACATCCTCTACGCTGAAACACTCGTCACTCAGTCCATGTTTGATTATCCTATCTATGTACAACAGACACAGGAAAGGGGACCAAGCAGACAGTTGCCTTTGACGAAGACACGTACCAATGCTGGAAAGTCTCGACTTAACCGCATTTACTCTGAAGCAGCACCTGCTATTGACATAATGACTGAATAGTTCGCAACAACTAAGCATCGATTCCATGCGAGTGGACGCATACCAATGCCTTGTGGCGCAAGGCTGTGCAACGAGAAACGAGTGGTAAAACTTTTTTAAAGAAATACACCTCAAGCTGATTTGTAGTCAGATATCAGAAGGATCATAGGGAGTTCTAACCGTAGCACACACATGAGACAGTATGGCTGAATGTCTTGCCCGCCTTGACACTACTACATCAAATAACGATGCTGCGTCTATTATTCACAGGCCAACAGTCTAATACCAGTTATTCGGATAGTTGAAATGAAGCAATATAGGACGAATTCCTTGCTCACGGGATTTAACAGCCAATAAGAGAAATTTGACGCCGCGCTTGTGGTTTGAATCCAACACGTCTAAATAATAAGCAAACTACTAATCCACTGTGCCATGGTCAGGAAAAACAATAAATGCACGCAAGTGGTTTAAAAAGAAGTTTGGTGACACCACAACTAGCGCTGATGTCAAAATCAAAATTAAATAGATGAACTTTCCAAGCTTTCAGTGCCTTCAATTGCATATCCGCTATTTCGTACGATAAACGAACTACCACTTTACACTAATGTCAAACGTACCGTTTCACTTAGATCAAATTTTTTACAGAATATACGAAAAGTTGTTCTAACTATGGCGACCTGCATAATCCCCGTGCATGGCAGCCCATAAGACCTGCAGAAATTTACCGACAACATTAACTACATATGAGAAAGTTTTTCTGCGGGTCGATATTCCAACGACCTAATAAAACAACGATGCAAACAAAAAACACGGTGAACTCTTGAAGCTGTTTGGCCCATGGCGCACTACCAGAGAGAAACCATCTGACACTGAAGATTCAGTAACCATCTGAAAATGACGAACAATAGAAAAGATCTCGTTTGTATGTGCTAGGCCGCATGTTCAAAACGAAGTGGATAAGTACATATATCTAATTATTACAGAAATAAACTTCGCCTATGGAGCCGCAGTCAAGTGCCACAAAAAAAGATAATAAATGATGGTTATGGGCAGAACCATGTAACATATGATATTACTGTTTTCAGATTGAGCATATTTATTCTCGAATAAACATTACGGAAAACAGGCTTGAAAATTGGTCGGTTTTCCAGAACCCAGTCACTTCAGCTCGCAAGATTCTACTGAAACTGATACGTGGCACATATCGATCGCGAAGTTAGCATGCAACGACGATAAACAGACTGACGAAAATCAAGGCAAAAACTGAATCTTTCTTTCTATAGCGATGTAACAATTATCTAAAGCTGTAGGGAACATGAAACCCAAAACAAAGATCATATCCAAAACAAACCGCTCGAAACGATAATCACATACAACAGTTAAATCAGATAATTATGTTCAACGGTGAATGAGAGAGCGAGCTCGATAAAGGGAGAAATAACTGTCGCATTGGTAAAGAATCAGCGTTTCTTCAAGTAAAAATGGCTTAATCAAAATCTGCTATTTCAGCTTTAAATATTCAAATCAGTCATTTTTAATGTTAAATAAAATCCACAATTTACTCTTCCAAACCCTACCTTTTCTATGTTCCACGCTACATCTCTTTTTATACTTTTTGGAATTTGTACCCCGCGCTGGGTTGCATTTGTTCCACTGTGAATTTCCCTAAAAAGCAACGTTAAGTATACAACTATAAAAGTTTTTCCACGGCAGTCAGACCTTCTGTAACTGACCAATCACTCCTCGGCAGTTTTTGGAACCGCAATGACACTTTGTTTCCTTGAGGTCTGTAATCGTGGAATCGAGATTATAGTGAAAAGTTAGTTCTTCGCCTAAAACAAAATCACAAAAGTTGTTCTAGTGCGACAACTGAGAGAGGCATATAATTCCTCTGAGAATGTTTCTGGAAGCAAAAAGGCCTATGCGAATGTCGTTTCCTACTTGCCAAACCTCGCTACGACAGTTAGGGTCGCAAGAATGGTTCATAAAGCGAGAATTATTACCTAAATCACTAACATTTGTTAAACAAATTAAATCGAAATACGACGTACCCATCGGTCCAGCATCTATTATCCGGTCTTTGTCCAGAGTCAAAAAGTAAAACTGCGAATTTTCGTTTCCTCTTAACAACTTCAATCGTTTTTGGCAACTTTCAACGCTGATTACTTCGCCGACATATTCAATAACGAAATCACCCTAAATCGTAAACCAATATCTTATACGGAGTTCTGTTCAACAAGAAAGCAAAATGCGCATGAGAATCCCTTCCGAACTATCAAACACTTGCCTTTAGATGATTCTAATGTGTTTGGCTTTTGGAGATTTTGTCCATTCCTTTAGAGCGAAAATGCAATACTTTGTTGCTGAACTTCTATGGCGATATTTAAGTAACCGTTTTCCTGCAGCATCATGCCAAAACTCCAACCAGTAAAGAATTTCTCGTTTGTACTGATTAAACCCTCGAAAATTGTCAGAATATCAAATAAAATAAAACCGACATATTTTCTTGATTTTAACCGTTACCAATATTTCTGTTATTATGTGAACTTTCATTTCTGTTAAATATGCTGTCATTCGGTGTTGTTATTCCTTTACCACATCGATTAAACGTTACATAACTTGAATTGTGATGTTTTCCTGTTGGTAATTTCAATAGACAATAAGTAGAAAGTATCCAAGATCCAGCAGTATTCTCTAGATGTTTTCTGTCTAATCTTTAGGCCATTTACAATTGTTAAAATGATTCATACAATAGCAGTGAAAATTGAAAATATAATTAAAAAACAAAGAGAAAAACGTAATTATGAATTAAGAATGTACATCGATCAAGGTACCAAAAAATCATCCGAGTTTTGTTCAACCAGGTCTTAAAGCGACTATATACTCATGTGCCGAGTTTATGCAAAACAAAAATACCGCTAGCTATTCCCTTAACTAACATACTAATACGTGTTAATGCATTAAGCAAAGGCTGGTAACAACGTATTGCATTAAAAGAGCATGCATGACCAAAAATTCTTAATTAAAAGTTGACCTCTTAAAAAGTACATTCATTTACAATTTTATTTACCCATCTGGCGTTCTTTGTGAAAATCTACCTTTGCAATGTCTTCTAGCGCTCGTAATCCCCAGCCACGGTTAGCTGTCTTGAATGGAATTGTAAAGGCATATTCACACTTCTGGAATCGTTGGTTTCGACATTTTTCACCGCTAGGACATAACTGTGAAAAGTTAATAATTACTTCCATCTTTCTTTCGAAGAAAAGCATAGACAAACTTTAGGGTGGCACTCGACTAACATCGATCGATTTTCACAAAGTTCCTCACAATAGCTAGAATTGTTGCTGCCACAGTGACAAACGGGATAGTTGTTGAGATCTAACAACTGTTGCTTCTTTCCCCCGGCGAATCGATTGCTCTAAGGTATCAACATATTAGTTGTTAATAAAAGCCATAGAGCATACTTGAATAAACTTGAAAACTGGCGGAAGAAAGTCTTCTTGCATTGTTTTAATTTTCAGTGCTTCCTGGCCTTCGAGGACAGCTAAAAGTGGAACGAAAAAATAGAATTTATCGGAGAGCAGAAAAGAATACCAGCAGCGAAAGCCTTATCGAGACCAGATCTTTTGACACAGCTGTTCTTGTCTTCTGGGTCAAACTGAAAGACGCGGCCCTGCGACACCACACCGTAATCATGAGTCCCATAAAACAAGACTGCAAACTCTCCGATGTAGCCGCGCTTATTCAGGAGTCGCTCGATGTTATCCGGGATGTTCAATGGATGAAGAATTTGTGCAGGCCACCATCTAAACGCGCCCATGACCTGCGCACAACACAAGACTCGCCGGCTCCTATACCTATGATGGCCGTACTTTGCCCACACTATGTCTCCAAAACACGGTTTTCGGAACATACTGCAATCTGTACAGAAAAAGTTTCCTT